ATCAAGAGATATTCTTGTAAAATATTTTGATATATCTATATGAGCAAGCTGCTTTAATCAGGTATTATTATCCTTATAGAATATTGTTTTATCATACATCACACTGTAGAGAAACATTGCTTGTAAATATTTGATCATATAGCCTGTCCCAATGGGGCATTATTTTAATAAATTTACAACATAAAAAACTGTTAATTTGTATATTTATCGCCCAAAATATGATATTTAGAGTATCAGTGTGAATGAAGAGCAATTAAAGTTTTTTTTATTGCATTCAAAATAAATATTAACAGAAAGACTCTTTGTGACAACAGCATAGATGGTAGAGTTGAAATGTATTTGTTTGAACTCTTTCTAAAAGTGTTCAAAAGAGATCATCGTCGCTCGTCGCAGATTCTGAACTGTACTGACGAAGTTAAATAATTTAATCTGGCACTTCTTGCATCATTATTGTAAAAGAAAATGGTAAAGCCACAAGTGAACTTTTGGTGTTCACGAGGTGAAATATATTTCGATCATGCACTAAACTAAACAAATGTTCTTTTTATTATCTGCAAAGAAACGATTAAACAGACGTTCTAACCTAATGCTAAATTAAAAGCACGCAAAATAATAATACAAAGTGACGTCATTTACGACGTCACGTCATTAAGTTGGTTTCCAGTACTGTGCACGATGGTATTTCACTGAAACAACGTAAGGGGCTTAAATTCAAAACAGTGAAATTATCAAAGTGGTAATTTCAATGTTTCAAACAGTGAAAATATCAGTCTTATATTTCACTGATATATTACTATCAACCACCGAAAAGCATGAAATAACTTTTTATCTGACCTTTTGGCGCCAAACTTCGCCTTACTATTGAGAATATTTGTGTCTGAGTTATATTAAAATCCCTCCATGTATATAACAATTACGCTCTAGAATTACCCCAAAGTGTGACTTTGACATTTTAACGGCATACATGGGTTTTGTGTTCGACACACCACCCCACAATGGTGAGCATTCGTACCAAATTATTTTGTAATCCATCAACCAGACATGAACGGACAGACTAAATCACGGACGTACCATACACCAAACATACAACAAAAGTGACGATTAAGTCGACTTCATCGTAAGCGGGCTCGTCAAAAACAACAAGAAATTTCCTAACATAGTTTCATTGAGTATGTACATGCAATATAAAGAAAAAGTACAACCTCCTCATGCCCCCTGGTACATAGCCAAACCCTATCTTTTCAAAGTGCTGACCAGGCAATTAACTCTGGCAAAATTTAAAGCACACTACTGTTATTAAATAAGTAATTGTATAAATCAAATCATGCCCTGGTAAAGGGTAAGACAAATCAAACATGTCATGTAAGGTTAACCTCGTACAGAGGAACCTACCAACAGAATGATGAATGGACGGACAGTTCAATACGAATATACCAAGGGACATAAATGTATGGACAATAGGCACATGCATTGGTATAAAAACAAATAACAATATCGTAACACTGTTTTAATGACTTATTATATAGATAATATCTTAAAACAATCACTGTACAAAGATAAGATACTAGATCAAATGTTTGTGATACATAATAATTATGACTATAATGATAATAAAGTACAGCATATATCGGATATCATATATAATATCAAGGAAAGAAATAATCATTTCTTTTACTCATGCAACAGCAGTTTAATAATCAATTGCCAAACTGAGTCAACGACTATACAGGAAAGAACCAACGCTCAGCATTAAACTGCTTTGTATTGTACACATTTTTGTACTATTGTGAACAATACAAATAAACTTTTTTGTACAATACTATCCAAGAATCATTCTTGTTTTCAGTCTCATCTTAAATTTCTTAGTGATTTTGGGAAAAATGTTTCATTTCAATGTTATGGTCTAGTAAAACAACTTGATCATTATCAAATAATTTATATTATATATTTTTCAAATGACCAAAAGAAAGGTATTCTCATTAAGTTATATCAAAGTGTGTTCAATGGTTAATAAGCAGACGCCTTTTAAATGAATGGTTAAAACTATATAGTAAATAATATGGACAAAACAAATCTAAAAATAAATCATGTACACACATCAAAAGGTTTATAGTAAATATTTTAGAAAACAATTATCTAAAAGTAAGTTATGTACACAAATACGAATCCTATATAAAATTTAGCACACAAACACAAATCTTCTAGTAAATCATGTACACAAAACATATACAATGTAGTAAATCATGTACACAAATACAAATCCTACATAAAATCTAGAAAACATATACAAATATTCTAGTAGTCATGTACACAAAACAAATATTATACAATGTCGTAAATTATGTACACAAATACAAAACTAACACCAAATTATGTACACAAATACAAGTCTTACATTAAACTATGCCCACAAATACAAAACTTGTAATAAATCATGTACTAAAATTCAAATCTTATACAATATTAAACGTTAAAAATATCAATGACATTATGTTTGTAAGAAATTATTCTTTAAAAATTAATTTTTCATTTCCATTTTTTTAGTTTTTGTTTAGATTTATGCAGAAGACTAAATCCATGTTAATTACTTTAAGGCCACCTTAAAATGCCTCCTGAGATTTTTCTTAAATGTACTTTTTGTCTAGAAGATGATGTTGTTTAAAGAGCAACAACAAATAAAATTGCAAACAATAAATAATTCTACTCTGGTGAGATAAAAATGTGGGTTCATAGTGAAACGTTTAAGCGCTTGTCTATAAACACGTTTTCATATATTATAGCAATTTATGAGAAGACAAAGGCAAAATGCAATCACATGAGCATAACATTTTGAGAGGCCTAGTAGACAGTTAAGACTACAATCAACATTAAAATGAAAAATCTATTTACAGCAACTCATACAAAACATATATAAGAAAACAATACTTTTGTAACTTTTAATAGGAACATAATTTGATAAGCTGTCATTTAGTACACATCACAAATCTATATAATAAGTTTCAACACATGAATGAAAATAAATCTGATATTTTTTACTTTGTCTACTTAAATTATGAATCAAATCTGTCAAAAAAAAAAAAACAACAACAAAAAAAAAACCAACAACAAAGCAACATATATATTTATATAATCATTACAATGCAATATTTTACTTTTGCAATTGAAAAGGACTGACAACGATTTCCTAACACAACGATAATGCAAAAATTATCATCTATCACATGTCACAGTGTTACTTTCCATCTGGCCATACATATTCATTTTACTTCTTCAAAGTGAAATTCTGCTACTTTTCCATTGTATGTTGAGAAAAAATGACCATATATATGACCATATATTTTGAAAATTCACTGTAATCATGGTAATTGACCAACACTTTAACTTGATATTGAAAAATGTTTAGGATAAAATATAAGTCTGCCTAAACCATAAAAAGACTGCCCCCTTTTTTTAATTGAACGTTCCAGGTAAATTTTCAGGTAAATTCCGATGGATAATGTAATTGTATACCTTCACAAAATATGGAAATGTAATTATTTTTCCTGAGAGTTGATATAAAGCAATATTGCACAAGTAGTCTATTTTAATGCCTTGACTTGTCTGAGTTGCATTTTCCATATTTAAACAATACAATGACTGCATTTGTTTGATCAAACAATATCTTAGAGCCATGAAATCATTTAGTTAATATTTCAAGTTTACCTATTAACATATCATCTCATGATTGTTTCGAGTCTCGGGTTTGGAAGATTTAAGTTAATATCAAACATAATGTATTTTGTATCCCCAACTAATGAATTGACTTCATTACACTATTTGCCCCCAGTATTTGTACTGCATGCAAAACTAATCCATATTGTCTAATGTCATCATCAAACCGCCTCCGTGGTCGAGGGGTTAGAGTCGATGACTTCTGATCCAGTTACCTCTCTGGCGTGGGTTCGATCCCCGGGAGATGCTTTGGTAGTTTAGCACGGAGGAAGGTAGTCTAGTACTGGTGTAACTCTCCAGGAACGATGGTTAGGAAACTACCCGCCTATATGACTGAAATACTGTTGAAAAAGGCGTAAAATGAAACAAACAAACAAACAAACAAATCTAATGTCATCATTCCTATGTGATACGTTACGGTTTTTTTTCAGACCCATATTGCAGTCTTTTACTTTGTTTATACCTTAAACACAGCAAATCACACATGAATGTCAGTTCTTAGCTTAATTAGTCTTTTGTAAAACTGCAAATTTGTTGGTAGATGTAATACACATAATGCTGAAAATACAAAACAACAAACTTTCCAAATAATAATCATACAAGAACCAAGTGAAAAAACAACAACATTTATTAAGAGTTTTCATACTTAATATCAGGTGACTCACATATATTTAGAAAACTGTAAGAAATTTTATTATATGATCTAAATATATCTGCAATCTCATTGGTCCAAACAGTAGTCAACAGAACTTTTTATAAAATCATATTTACTGGGTGTAGTATCATATTCACTGGCTGAATTGGATTTTCCCAGTCTAAAAATAGATTGAGACTCATATTCAATGATCATACACCGTAGACTGTTAAATACGCGTGTTTCTTAAAAATAATTGTTGCTTTTTGTTCTTTATGGCATATTTCTCGATTAAAATATCAATACATTACCATTTTACTTAAAGGCTACACCGCAATGTTGGGTATAAACTTGAATTACTTTTGTATGCGTAGCGTTCGCGAAGTCGTTGCACGCCTAACACGTGCGTCTTTTTTCCCGCGCTTCAACGAGGCAAAATTTGTACATGTATATAAGGTTGTACTTTTTGTGATTTTTTAAATTTTTTAGCCTATTCATATAATAAAACAATTATTGACAAGTGAGCCATTGAATATGATGTGATATTCACCGGCAGAAAGTCATATTGACCTCGGCTATCGCTTCGGTCAATATGTCATCTGCCGGTGAATATCACATCATATTCAATGGCTCACTAGTCAATAATTGTATAATAATGCCCAGAAACCTATGAAATATTTACAGAAGACTTTTCCTCAGTTTCCATTTATATTCCCTTTTTGAAATTATTAAATCCGTCTTACACGGGTTACGTACAGCGTAGTATTGATTAAATGTTAGACACATAATAATGATGTCTATTTCACCTGTCACTTGTCTCAAAATATATTTATAAATTGTTTCTCCAAGTTCATTTAAGGTTACTCAGTACATTTTACTTCAAGTTTGTTGTTGTTTTGAACACAAACACGTACCTTCCTGACCTCAAGGTGCCATCACTGGTGACCACAAAATTGTCTGATTGTTTTATAAATGTTTTAAACTTTTCAAATTCTGTTTCTGGTTTTATATCACAACCAAACATCTGTACTGTCACTGTATGTGGTAGTTTGTTTATAACAGTAATGAGATCATGTAACACTGAACAAGACATTGTTATACACGACAAGTAAACAAGTTTAATATTTATCATTTGAGGTGACAGTTTTAATGATCTTTCACCTAGATTGATTTTAGACAACCTAACATCTTTTAAAAGATGTAACAATGGTAATGTTTGTACCATCGTGTCTATGTCACTGGAAGATTCTAGAGATCTACATTTAAATGATTGTAGTTTACTGGCTGCTGGTAGTTGACTGAGATAAGATGACACAACACCAGGTTTATATAATTCACCTACACCACATTCTTCAAACAACGATACATCAATGTTTAATTGTGACACAGGTATCTTGGACAATCTTAAATGACTTAGTTGTGAATGTTGAGAAAGGTCAAGGTTGAATCCCGTACATGAAGTTTTATGATCACTACAGTATAAACTGTACAATTTTATTTCTTTCATTGATTTTTTACTAGTGAGGAAATTTAACAATGTCTCCATTACCTCGTGGGTCATAGTGAAACAGTCTATATATAAACACTCCAGATGTTGTAATGTTACCAGTCGTCCATTTATCTCAGCAGACAGCGGGTAACGTCTTCCTACAAATTTATGATTTTCCCATTTACTTGAAAACACAGTTAAACATTTTAAAGGGTTCAATAACAAGCTCATTATTTCCTCTTCTACAATTTCCCCTCTATAGTATTTCTCTATATGTGGAAGGTCAGAGAGTGTAAACAAATTGATAATTTCTTGTAGACTACAAATACCTTCATTTACTATCAGTATTGATTTTATGTTTTCTGTATTTTGTTGACACAGCTGTTGTAATTGTTTAAAGTTGTTTTCTTGTAGACAGTTTTCATTAATGAAGAAATCTTGTAAACACAATTTGAGGTCTTTGTTTTCCTTTCCATCTATTGCACAAGAAATGTACATGTCTTGTATGTCTTGTAATGGCTTAATGTACATGTTATTACCATATGTCCAAGTTCTGTATTTGCTTGTTATTTCATCATTGTTTATCACAGGCATTAAATGACTTGATATTGCAGACATTAATTTAGGGTTCATGTTACTGATGAAGACAAACACTTTTGACATGTCTAGAATATTTTGTAAACAGTGGCACTCTTCATATAGGATTTTCTGGACTTCACATGTATTTTGAAAACTTATAAATATTGCTGAAAAGTATTCTTGCATTGTTTTATGTGAAAATGAGATTTTAGAACTTTCATTTATTAATGTTTTCACTTTACTTTCTGATAATATTCCTGATAGACAGCTTGATTTCAAATCTTCTTGGTTAAGATATTTTTCAGCCATATTTTCATCAAATACTAATGTGTGCTCTTTTTTCTTACTGAACAATGTATAAAAAGCTAGTTTCCCAATGGTCAACAGAAACGTGTAGTAACTACAGAAATGTTTATGTTTTCTGAAACATTCAGGGACGTTACTCGGAGATTTTTCACATGATGAATGAAACATTCCATGTAACTTTTCTGTTCTAGATAGAAGGAGCTGAATAATGCCTGTATATAATTCGATTGCTGAATTTCCTATTGGAATTTTTTCAACCCATAAACATATAAGATAGAGTAATAGGAGAGGGGTGGAATCAATATATTCAAGGTCATGGTCACTGATTGCTTCTTCAAATCTACACACTTCATTCTTCAGTTCACTATCTTTAAAGTTCTTATTCAACATTTTCATTGCATTAAACTTAAACTGCCTGACTTTGTCTATATTTAATTTAACTAGCTCTACTGTTTTGCCTTTTTGATTCAAGTCTGACATTCCAAGCTTCCATGGCCGACTCGTTGTTAAGATTACACATTTTTCACGTGCATATCGGTGTGGAATACTTTTAGGAAGTCTTGAACAATCGATGTCAGGATGAGTCCATTCATCTAGTCCATCTAATATCACAAGACATTTTTCATCATGTAGAATGTCCTTTAAAAGACCTTTTGGCATTGAAGATGAGCAAGGGAGATTTTGTATGAGTTGTTCTTCAATCATGTCGTCAACATCACATACTTTAGCTGAATCTCTCAAAAGCACTAGAAATAAAAACTCAAAGCAAGATAACGCCTTCAACTCTTCTTCTTTAAAATGCTTATAATTTTCATCCTTTTGATGAGCTTGACACCACGTCAATGCGAGATATTTTGAAAATGCTGTTTTTCCAAATCCAGCGACCGCTGATAAGTATATTTCCTGTGAAATCTTTCTACCCGATATAAACAGGTCCTGTAACGACTTGACTCTAGTTGTTTCTTTCCCTCCACAAGCCTGATAAGTCTGTATGTCAATTTCTGGCATAATGTAGAATCCGGCTAGAGGGGTAGGGGCAGCATCTGTGAGTGGTGAAAGGGGAACTGTACTCTGATTGGTTTTATACCATGTAATTAGTTCATTCTTCAGTTCTGAAATAGAAAAAGATCACAAATTATTTATTTAGATAGTCATGACGTTCACGTAGAACTGCAGTAGAGCTACAATAAAACAGAAGCAAAATAATGAAGAAATTAAATACAAAATCTTCTTTTAAGTTCTTCCTCATATACTTGTACTTAATACAGTAAAATGAATAGAACACTCGGTAGAAAATACAAATTGATAAAACTCATGTGTTCGTCTGCTAACTTTAAAATTTACAGTAGCAGACGAACACATAGTTCTGGTTTCCAAAACTTTATAAGCCGCTATTTAACATTTTTGTTTTTCATCTGATGCGGCATTAAAATAGACTTTCATCTGACAGAAGTAAAGAAAAAAAAATCTTTTGAAAATATACATTGCCGTGTAAAAAAAAAATAAGATGTTTCGAGGTCGCTTCTAGATTCTATACTGCACTGTGTACATGTTTACATTATTACAGAATTGAATAACGTTACCCATCATTGGGCGTAGTGGGAAGGGGCATTTAGTTTTGCCCTTATCTGTAGGTCTGTTACTGTATATTTATTATATTTATTTGAAGTGTTTTGCCCTTAATTCATTTTAAATGTTTGCGTTACTAAAACTATTTGACCTACTGCAGTATAGTCATAAAACTTTACAGAAACCGGGGCGGATGCAAAAATGCATCACGGTGGGGGGGGGGGGTGCAATTTTGACAAAATTAAAATAGAGAATATAACATAATTAAAGAAAATGCTGCTTTTTTAGCTTGGACCAGCATCGGAAATCTCCCGGAATCACAGCCGGTAGTCACATAATAAAATATTTTACATAATCGGCCTATATACATGTATATTAAGATTAAAGCATATAGGCCATTATAGAACATATAAAAAGTTTGTTTCACGCACCTGTGCGTGGAATATACAGTACATATAACTTTTCCACAGTCTATATATTCTATATGCAGTGAGAAAAATTCATAATATTATTACATATATGTGCATCATCAATATTACTATAAGTTTTGATCTGAGTATCATTATTTACCTAAAATATTTCATTTCCAACAGAAATAGTTTTCATACCAGTCTTGTAAATAGTTTCATTTTCAAAAAAGAAGCACAAGTTTTTCATTCCAAGTGTTATCAAAATTGCAACCATTGTTAATTACCGTTTATGACCTATCTTTAATAAACCATTTAAATACATATAGCAACCTCAGAAAAATTTACAATTTCAAGCAATTATAAGTATTTGTCCCTCGGCAAAGCTCAAATGCCCATTTCTATACATTACAAAGACGCCGCCACATATCAAAAACATACCATCATATATCAAGACGACATTACCATATTTCTCACAAACAGCCCCATATATAAAATGTCAGAATTTATCTTAACTGAAAACCAAAAACCATTTTTCAAAACCACAGAACCGTTTATCAAAACCACAGCATCATCTAAATGTGCAACCTGACCGAGACTCGAATCTGGTACCCTCAGAAAATAGTTGAACTGTCTGGGACGTGTTCGTAAATCTCTACTTACGGAACCATTCGATACAAAACAATAGCAGATGATAACATACGCCACGGAAAGAAACGACAATTTACGCATGCGCGGACATTAAGTATGATTTTGACACGCCTAATTGACAAACAACACACGGCAACATGAACACTAAACATAACAAATCAATCGACTCTGACAAAAACTGCACCAGCTATCAAAACGGCATTTACAGCCAACAAAATCACATCACATTGCAACATCTATTAAATCCACAGTACTATCGTTCAAAACGCTATTGCAATTTTTCAAAACTACAGCACCATATTTGTCAGTGCCACAACACCATTTATCAGAACTACAAAACCCTGTTTCAAAAGGACATCACTACAAGTATGTTTAAATAGTCTTCTTATTGCCATTTGTTTGAAGATAATATAAAAATTATAATATGAGATATAATAATTTATACTGTATGGTGTGAACATAATCAAATTACTGTAGAAAATAGTTAATTTATTTAAAGGCACATTATTCCTCAGAAATCAATATTTCTTAAATTCTTTAGAAATGTCAAACATGTGTTTAATAATGTTCTGATAATAGTCTAACAGCATGTAAAATGTTTATCTGTTAAAGTAATAGCGCTGAACATGTAGTTAAAGAAGCAAAATGTAAACAATGCAGAATTTTAAATTCCATACAAATTCTAATTCACTATAATTGTACCACCTGCCAACATAAAAAATAAGCAAAAGATTTATGCATATGGCAAATGAGTACTTTTTGAAAAATTGTAAAAAGATGCCAAAAATAAAACAATTCTTGGGAAATAAAAATGATAGCCTTTCTGAGGCATAATGGGCCTTTAAGCCAACAGAAGATTGCGAGGCGGTGGGTGTGGTCTAACATCGCAATTTTGGAGTCTCAGTAATTCAACAGGGGCACGGCAAGCATCGTGTTCATGCTCGTCTGTTAAAAGCGGCATAACTAATAAAATACTTCTTTTCAGAATTATGCAGATTGTCTAACAACTGTACCTTGTCATGGTAGGTACTTATTCCATAATTCATGTCGATACTTTAAAATATTTGAATTATGGGCAACATTAAAGCCTCTGCACGACGATAACGACGACGACCTCGAAGCGATCACAATAATTCTAACTTAAATTTCCTTCGAACAGACGAACATCCCTAAATAAAAAAGACATAGCTAAAGCCACCCTGCCATAGCTTTCACAGAAGCGGTGGATTCATCACAACGGCGGTGAATTCGTCGCAGGAGCAGTGGATAAAAAATGGCCGTTTGCTGTTGACTGAATGTTACTGTTTACATGCCAAACGGCACATTATATCGCCATGTTATTTGTCGAATTGAAGACTTGACTTGTGGGCGCTTTGTTTCTCGGCATATTACCGCTAAAGAGCTTTGTCACTCAGTGCATATCTAATTACTGATCTGATGCCGTATTTTCTCTTGGTGCTTGCACAGAACGACAACTCGACAAGGCGATGTTTTGCGTTTTGTAGCAACGTCGCGTTCCTGTTGCACATACGCAGAGTATAAAAAGCAACTCAAGATGGAAAGTAAATTAGTGATAATACTTGTTTCTTGGTTGCGGTTGTTTTAATTATAATTTAGATTTATACAAATATTTTGTATGTTACATGACATGTTAAATCATTGTTATTGATATAAAAGATGCATTTTGCAAATATCTGTAAAGCAGTTTTTTTCGACATTTATTTTCAATCAGTCATGTCAGTATTTGTGTTCGTCATTTCTTGTTTAAAATAATTAAAAACGTGTCGCTTTTTGTAAATACGAACATATCTAAATATCATCTGTGGGTAGTGTTTGCAATTCTCCTGTAAATTTGTTGTGATTAATGCTTCAGAGGGATCACTTGTTTCCAGATTGTTTTACACATAATGGAATCCGGCACATGTCTTTTTCTTTACAAAACATTCGATAACACTAAATAAGTATGAACGATGCATGTTGAGCATATTTAATATTACGATGTGGAAGTTAGGCTATTGAATTTTAAGGCATTCATTGAGAAACATAGCACAATCACTAACAATTTTATACAAATTAATATTACTTTGCGATCATCGATGTTTATATAACTATCCGCAAACGGCGGAAGCATACATCTTAGTGTCAACAATAACCCAATATTTTCAGAAACATAGCATAAATTCTAAGAAATCCACCCAAAGGTTTAATTTTAATACACATTAATATAACTTTGCGATCATCGATGTCTAAATAACTATACGAAAACTGCGGAGGCATACATCATATTGTCAATTTGGCTTATTATGCAACTCAAATAATTATGCAGGCAAACCATGTACATGTAAATAGAAAGGTGTACGAACCTGACATCTCCTGGTGCTAGGCTAGGGTTATATTGCAAACAACCGTTTATATACGGTCATATAACCTGTCAGGAATATTTGTAATTAATCCTTCATAAATGACACATTTTATATATTTCCGTAGGGTGGACAACTACCGTCTTAAAAGCGTGCTGTAGTCAGCTTTATTCTAAAGTACATTTAAATGTCATTAAAATTAAATATGCATATTTTATTCCTTATAACTAAAAATTTAAATGTTTTTTACATGATGTCAGCCTCTCTTAACAATTCTATATTAAGGGTACGAAAGAAAAGAAAGGAACATAGAAATTTGTCAAAAATGTCTTACTCAGGTAAATTAGTTTATTATTTTAATTTTTAATCCTTGCGTCCATTGATCTTTTATAAAAACATTTTTTTGAAACTCCACAAAGGGACACTGAACTCAATTTGGTCCTAGTACCGCTACATTAAAAAGATGACTGTTATAAAGCCCTGTCCTGTTTTTGTTTGGGGTCCACCTGGGCTCCTTGCCACTGGTTCTTGTTGCTGGGCCATATAGGGGTTGCGTTCATTGAACGCAATCTTTCCTTGTTTATCTTGTTTATCATATTTCGCATATTTGCAATATGTAAAAGCGATAAACCTTCATTTTGATTTATATTAAACCCACCCCATTCAGTGCGCCCTATCTTTTAACTATAATATATGTCATTCTACAAAGACAGTAATCGATATTAAACCCGTTACATTTTTAAACTATATTAAATATCATCCTTAATGATATTAAACCTGTCCCATTTAGTAAGCCCTATTTTTAGCCTATAATAAATGTCATCTTTTAAAGGCCGTATTTGATATTTAACCCGTTACATTTAGTAATTTATATTAATTTTTTAAAGTATAATTAATATCATTTTGTGCTGTCTGACTAGAACTTGAACCAAGGACCCCGGAAAACGGTCCCACAGCTGCTTACCAACTAACATATACGTCCGCTTACACATTCCCTCCCTTCAATAGTGAACAGTTCTGAGCTGTGACTTTACTATACAGAATTGAATAAATTTCTTTATCATCCAGGGAACATTTCTTTACTGATGAGGGGTCTTAAAACCTCGGTATTCCCTGCCGCAAAAT